ATCTAAAATAAATTACTTTATTTTGAGAAATCTGACAAGTTCTTTTCACATTCATGACCAGAGGGGAGGTTTCATTAATTCTGATTTCATTTCTGCAAGATCTTGTGGAACATGCTTTTGTGAGATTAAGCTGGTATTAGTCTCATAAAGCAGGGTTCTTTACAACTAACTCACCATGACACTATTATTTAGATGTATAAGTGCAGTTTAGTGTTTCTGTTTAAGTCGTTCATCTGTATAGAGCAAGATTAGAGGCAGATAAATTCATAATCCTTGCAGAGAAACACTCTGCAGATAACTCAGAGGCTTTCACCATTTAAGAGCTGTTTACTCTGTGGACCATAAAGAGCTGACAGAGGTCTGAGCTGATGTACTCCAGTCTTCTATCTCACCCACTTTACAAGAGAGGGGGATTAATAAACCTGACATGACAAAGTGAAAACTGCCCACTAATCTGATTTCAGCTGCTACAGCTTCCTGGAGGAGTTTCTGAGCCACCTATTTTAGACAGTGGGGGAACCTTCCTCTGTGTCTGTGTGACCCTTTCATGTGTTTATGTCCCTCTAAATATCCAGTACCGCTATGCAAAACTGGACCAGCCGTCTCAGTTTGGCGGGGAGCCATGCAGCTTCCACAGCAGGCAGGAGGAGGCCTGTGACGTCCCGGCCCGCTACACCTGTGACAATATACCTTTATGTGAGGGTTTCCTCTGCACCCAAACAGGTAACCTCTACCTCTGTTATCACTGTAATTATTCCCACAAGTAAATCACTTGACCTTCATTTCATATTGTACACAGTCATGTAATTGGCATTTACAATCAACTCGAGTCAAGATGGTTGTCACAACTATCAGCCTAAATGGCTGCAACTTGTTCACTTTTACAGATGTTAGGCCTAAATCTGTTGTGGTGGTAGTTGAGAGTCATTTCCAACTTATATTCTGAGCACTAACATATTTACAGAGCCCGGGAGAGGACATGGGGATTTTTTTCTTTTGCGTCCCCACGCAATAAATTTGCGTTACCTCGCAATACTTTTGCGTTATCTCGCAAAATTGTTTTGCGTTCCCATGCAAAAGTTTGTTTTGTACATGAACTGAATTAAATCAGACTTTTGTTTTGAAATATCCAGTTACCAAAACAGGATGTGTCGCCACAAGCTTGTGAATTGACATTGATGTTGCGTGGCTGTACTGTGTTAAAATATTGGCATATGACATACTTCCATGCGTGGTTGTGATATTTTCATTCAGAAGCTGAATTAAAGTAGTAGTCTAACGCGCTAATGGTGAACACGTGAATGTGTTAATAAAACGGCAGGCACAACAGTGATAAACGACTTTTGCGAGGGAATGCAAAAGGTATTGCGAGGTAACACAAAAGTATTGCGTGGGAACGCAAAAGAAAAAAATCTCCCGTGTCCCCTCGCGGGCTTCGTAAATATTTCACAAAACCTTGGTTTAAAACTTTAGCATAATTTGTAGTATTACTAGCATTATTTGCGTGGCATGCATTTCTTATGAACATAAAACTTGTAAGAAAACGTTTTAATATCTAAAAAATTGGACATAATTCAAATTATTTTATCCATGTTGTTAGTTATATAACTGGTGTACTTTTAATTTGAACTCGGCGTGGCCAAAATGAAACAGGAAGTGACGACAAAGGGGAACTCGTCGAAAAAGGAACTTCAAGGATTTTGTATGAACTCTGACTCTTATGGTGCCGGTGAGGGGACTTGGGGGATTTTTCTTTCTTTTGACTGAAACTCTCATATTCAGCGTACAGTAAAAGCCTTTTTGTCTCTGGTTTCTTTCAGGTCGCTGTGTCCACAGAACTCTGCAGTGTAACGGAGAGGATGACTGTGGGGATATGTCTGATGAAGCTGGCTGTAAAAAAGCTTCCAAGCCCTGCAGGGTGGAGGCTGAGGAGTTCTGGGGAATTGAAAATCTTGCCAAAGGGTGAGTCACTTGCCCACTCTGCTTCATGGATGTCCAATATTTAAAAAAAACGTCAGTAATGAGAACATGCTGCACCACTGCTGCTCTGTTTTCCAGAATAAATGTTTTGAACAGTGATCTGGAAGGTGTGGTGCTTGATAACAGATACTACGGAGGCAGCTGTCTGCCTCAGTACATCCAAGATGTCCCATTCAGGAAGCCCTTCAACCTGCAGCAGTACGCATTCCAGGTGAAACATGACTGTGAACAACTCATACTGCACTGCTTATTTTCAACAGATAATAGGTGGAGTGTAGTTAAAGTTTATTATTAACATGAGCTGTGTATGGAAGCCAACAATGGTCATCCCTGCTGGTTTTAAAGTTGACGTGGTTCTCTTGAGATGACAAAACAACAATATATTGTCTAAAGAAAATAATCTTTTTATATATTTATTTATTTGGCTCATTTACAAAACACCTCAGTCCAGGACTGAGACGTGTTCTGGCCATCTCGATCCATTCAGAAGACACATTGAGTTGGCGAGGAGGTCGAAGAGAGCCCACATCTGCTGCGCCTCTTTGCCCCCGAGCAAGGTTGTAACAGAGCCGGATCGACCCCAGTGCCGATAAACAACGTGATGAACAGATGACATTGGTGTGTGACCACCCACATGCAGGATTAAACAACAGCAAACATATTTATTACAGAGGGAATACTGATCACAACACACAGTTAGTTTAAAAAAATAGTGAAAATTTTATCAAAAGAATTGGTTGATTAGAAGTAAACAAGTGCCAAATGATGGATGGATGGATGGATGGATGGATGGATGGATGGATGGATGGATGGATGGATGGATGGATGGATGGATGGATGGATGGATGGAAAAAAATGAAGATCGATATCTGGTGATGAAGCTTTCATCAGTTGCCAGCCTGATTGTCTTGGTTGACCCTTAAGTTTAAGTTTAATTTTGAAAAACAAAATCAGTTACCACAAAAAGTAGCTTTTCTAAATCAAAAATACTTATATGTTTATAAATTTATATGTTAAGATCCATTATCAATAAAAAAAACAAGCTTCATGATTTCAAACAGGATAATTTGCTTTTTTGAGGAAAACTACCATCATTACAATAAAACTAGATAAACAACTATTTGTCTTATGGCAATGACACAACTTATTTTGATTAAAACTCACTTCATTTTTTAAAGTAAAAAAAATAAAACTAGCGCTGTTTATGTCAAGAAAACTAAATAAATAAGTGGCTATACTGAGAAAATTATTGTTTTTTTTTGTTTTGTTGTGTTTTTCTTTGGGAGGGCTCAAACATCTGTGGATATAAGCTGGACAAGCACCGTCATGATCTTTCTTTTCTTTAATATTTCAAACATTAATCCAACTCGTCTGCACTGTTGTTGTTTAAAAGTTTCTCACTTTCTGTGTTGTTTGCAGACAAAAGGTTCTTACGATTTCACCCTTAATGCCTTCAGTACGTACTCTGAATACATGCATTACAGCAGTACGGAGCACACGTCCCAAACCTCTTTCTCCATCGGCTTTGGTGTCCCAGGGGTTTTCAATTTTGGATTTAACTTCAGTGAATCCAAATACAGAAAGTCAGTTCAGAAGACCCGCCGTGCCTCTGGAAAAGTGAGACGCCATCATTAGTTTGTTTATCTTTTGTTTTTTAATTGTTTCCTCAATGACCAACCAATAGTTTTTACAAGACTATTTATCTTAAAGCTGGGAGTTTTACAGCCGTGTTATCTGATCTCCAGAGCTACAGTTTTCTCAGAGCCAAAGCTGAGCTGCAATTGGCCCAGTACATGCTGAAATCAGAAGATCTGGTGCTTCACCCCGAGTTTCTGCAGCGTCTTCGCTCCCTGCCACAGGTTTATATCTATGGAGAGTACAGTCAGATCTACAGGGACTACGGCACCCACTACGTCACTGAGGCCACACTTGGGGGAGACTATGAGTATACCATCATCCTGAACAAGGAGAAGCTGGAAAAGTCAGGTTGTATTAGCACAATGGAGTTCTAAATGGTCAAAGTTTGCAGATTATTGTAGAAGCTGAAATTCTGTATTAAATTGTATAAAATGGTGCTGAGGCAGACAAAGAGCATGAGGTGGATGGAAGAGGAAGAACAGAGAAAACAAGAAGGGTTGGAGATGTGCAGGAGGTCAGAGAGATAGGTAAATTAAATTCTGAAAATGACCTCAAGTCAATGGAGTTGCTGTAAGACTGGGGTGATGTAGTGAAATTAGAGGATTTTGGTGATTATGCAGGCAGTTTTTAATCATTTGAAGCTTTCAGAGGGATTTATGATGGGGTCAAAGAGGAGAGAAATACAATAACCAATACAAAACAAGACTCTGTACAAGGATGGAAGCAGTGCACTAAGAAAGTGAGTGGCAGTCGATAAATGTTTCGTATGTGGAAATATAGAGAACGGGCAATATTATTGATTTAAGAATTAAATAATAGAGTGCTGTCTAGTCTGACACCCAGACTCTTAGCTTGAAGGTAAGAGAAACCAAGGAGCTGTGAACAACTGCTGACTTTAGAGTGGATTTAATACCAATGAGTAGGGACTTTGCTTTTTCATTGTTTAGTTTAGGAAAGTTTGAGGTGAACCAGGATGGGATTTTAGATAGGGAGGATGAAGGATGGGATTTTAAAAAATGGTGAGATGGGTAAGAAATGCTGGGTGTCATTAGTGAAGCAATGGAAGTGAATGTTGAATGTACAAAAATATATCACTAAATGGAAGAAGGTAAGTGACAAAAAGAAAGGGACCCAGAACACAGCCCTGGGGCACACCTGAAATAACTGAGAAGGAGTGGGATTTGAAGGATTTGAGTTTGATTAAGTGAGTACATCTGTGAGACAGGAACAAAACCAATCAAGGTGTGTGATATCAACATGATCTAAAATGATGTGTGTCAATGGCAGCACTCACATTAAAGAGGATGAGGAGGGAAAGTAAACCAGAATCTGCCATAAAAAGAGTATTTTTAATTCTCAGGAAAGCAGATACTGTGCTGTGACAGGAGTGGAAACCAGACTGCAATTGTTCATACTGTATACTGTAGTTTTAGGTTAAATGAATGCAGTTGAGTAGCAATAGTTTTACTGCATTTTAAAAAATGAATGGAAGAGGTGAGGCAGAGGCAGATTATTATTGTTATTAAGATCAGAACCAGGTCTTTTTTAAATTGTAGTGATGAATTTTTTAAAACAGTTTCAACAATTCCAGCATTAAGAGAAGAGTGAATGATGGCAGAAATAAAAGGAAAAAGAGATATGATAAATATCAGTAATTACTTTCTGCATTTGTTGTTTCTAGATTATTCTTTGGAAGCCTACAAGTCTTGTGTACAGGCAGGCCTAAATGTTGGAGCAAACATATATGGAGTTTATGTATCTGTGGGCGCTAAAGGTGGGAGCTGTGATGGCCTTCTGAATGAAATGGGAGGTGAGCTTTGAATATTGATTGAATGTCTTAGGTTCTGTAGATGTCCCAGTCTTTTAAAGGCCTCAGACTGTCACTCTGTCTCTACTCAGAGGACACACAAAACGGGAGCATGGTGGAAGATTTTGTTGCTGTTGTACGGGGTGGAAGTAGTGAAACCATCAGCGCTTTGATGTCTAAGACGCTTCCCACTCCAGAGCTAATGAGGCTGTGGGGTGAAGGCGTTCGTTTCAACCCTGACATCATTCGACTAACAGTGAGTGAATCAGTTGAAATATAAAGCATTCACATGTTTTAAGCTGTTACTTTGTGGTCAATGTTTTTGTATAACACTGTTTTTGTTTGTCTATTTTGTCTAACCTAATTCTAAAATGGACTGGAAGCCAATGAAGAGAGAACAAAACAGGTGATGTGATCACATCTGTGAGTGTTAGTTAAAAGCCAGGCTGGAGTTTTGAACTAGTTGAAGATGGCAAAGGAAGGATTGGGAGCTACTGGCATGAAGAGCTTTACAGTAGTCAGGCCTCAAGCTGATGAAATCTTGAATGGACTTTCTCGATGCATATTTCAAGACTTAACTTGGCTAAAAGATGTAACTGAAAAATCTGTTGTTACTTTTTGTTTGTTGAACTTCAAATCCTTGCCAAAAGTGAACCCAAGTTTTTAACGGTGGGTCTAAACTTGTATTTCAGAACATCAGTTACAATATGTATTATCCCCCCAAAAAGCTGCACTCCTTCTTTCCTTCGTTTACAAACAAAGTTTTGGATGCTGTCTGTGATGCAATAGAGATAAGTTTAAAAGTAACTACCCCTAGGCTTCATATACAAATAAATCTGTCAGTCATCTGCACAACAGTGAAACTAAAAATGATGTCTGGCTATAACTGATCTATACGGCAGCACATAAAAAGAAAAGAGAAGAGGACCAAGAATGGAGCCTTGTGGCACACCACGAGAAAGAGAAGCAGTAAAGAAACACAGATTACCTAAATGTCTGTTCTGTTTATTTTAGTAATGTCCAGTAGAGAGTGCTGTAGCCTAGTTAGTAATGAGTTCTGCCTTCATTCATTCCATAAAATAAGAGTGAGAAAAATTCTGCTGTGGCTTCTGTCAGTCAGTACTCAGGGCTGGAATATCCCACAGATGGCAGGAAGAGGAGGATGTTCATCATCTTCATAAATCAAGACTTGTAGCGTACATTTGTCAGAACAGTTCAATGAGGCTTTGTAGCTGCAAAATATGGACTTTACCAGCATAAACACCACGCAGCCCATGGACAGCAGGGTACATACTGTATTTAGAGATGCATAGTCCATTAAGTTTACACCACATGTGTTGTATTTATGTTCCATGTCAAACAAAGATACCTATGTAGATGTATTTTATATTTTAGTTTTAGTTTTCACACTGTATTCTGTGCATTCCAGCAATGTTTGGTTTTCAGTGAAGTAAATGAGAAACTACTGCACTCATCAAAGATCTCCATGTTTTCCCAAGAAAACATAAAGAGGGACTGTTATACCCAGCATGACAGAGAATGTTCTGTTGACCATGTAGGAGGTGAACCACTTGAGAGCTGAACCAGAAATACCAACATAATGTTTAAAGTGAAACAGAAGAAGAGCATGGTCAAAAGCAAGGTCCAGCAACAATAAAGCAACGGGACGCTTTGCATCAACAAACATGGCAATACAATTATTAACTTTGTGGTATAGAACTGAACTTTGTGTCTGGAAAATACATAGTACCCCTCCCCCACCCTCATGGGCACAATTACACAGAATCAAAGGACAACTCAGCTGATCAATGGTAATTTGAACAGCAAACATTTAAACATTTTCAAATACAAGTGTGAAAAAAGGCCCTGTGATGGATTTGAGACCTGTCCAAGGTGTACCCTGCCTCTCATAGGCCACAGGGACCCCCATAATCCAGGAAGGAAACATGGTCAAAGATAATGGATGGAATGAAGTGTATCAAATGAAAAAAGGCTTCCTCTCTCAGCACTCGTATTTTCCAGTTTTAAAAAAACGTTTAATTTTTCCAATACAGTTCAATATTATCCTGGTTTATATACAGTAACAACACGTATGTACCATTAGGCCAAGCCTCTGTACGAGCTGGTGACATCCAGAGACTTCACCCAAGATGCCATCCTGAAAAGAAACCTGAAGAAAGGTCTGTCAGAGTACCTGGCAGAGACGAGCTCCTGTCGCTGCGCTCCCTGTCACAACAATGGACAGGCTGTTCTGAAAGGTATCACTGTTTGTTTTAAATGACTCAATTTCTTCTTATTCCACCATTTATTCACTGAATATTCAATGAATACTTATTTATTTGCCAAGATCTGGATATGAGGGTTAGAGTTTAATGAAGTGAACCCAGTGACACCAAAGTAATGTGAGCAGCAAAAGCATTCACCCCTTTCTTTCCAGTTTGTTACCTTACAGCAAGAGTGTCAAACTCATTTTCACTGAGGGTCACATGAGCATCATGGTGGCCCTCAAAGGACCAGTTATTACTCACCTCAACGTTTTGTGTTTAACTTTAACCAAACACAAAACACAACATTCCTCATCTCATTGCTACAGCTGAGCCCTGCTAACAACAACAACTGCTATGTCCACTGAAGGAGCATTCCAGTTTAAATTTACAACTTGAAAGTGGGAAATTCCCACTTACAGCATCTTGGAGATTTTACATTAGATTTTTCTGGCTGTTATCTACTTTTGAACCTTGTGCACCTCCACCTAGTTGTGGTATTGTTGTGTGGGTGAAATGATTGAAATGCATTATGGGAGAGGATATTTATGGTCATTGTAGGCTTGAAAACAGAATATGCCAATGAAGAGAGCATAAAACAGGTGACGTGATCAGGCTGCAGAGTTTTGAACAAGTTGAAGATTGGTAAGGAAGGGTTGGGAGATTCCAACAAAAAGAGCAGGTCTTGAGCTAATAAAAGCACAAATGGCTTTTTCCAGGTCATGGTGACTTAAAAACACAACCTTGGCTAAAAGATGTAATTGAAAAAGGCTGCTCTTGACTACAGAGGATATTTGTTTATTGAACTTCAAATCCTTTTTAAATGTAGGTTGAAGCATAATTGTCAAAACACCAAAGTTCCAATGACTGTCATCACCAATAAACTCCATCTCTCCTTTTAATAACAGGAAGTTTTGGTTGCGGCTTAATGTTGGTGATGCAGTCGAGACAAGAAGCAAATAAATCAATGAGTCCAATGCAAAACCGTGAGAAAAAAGTGGTGTTTGGCTACAACTGATATGAATGACAGCATATACAGAAAGAAGAGGAGAGGACCAAGAATAGAGCCTTGTGGCACACCAAATCCTGGTTGCTGCTGTTTACACGACAAATTTCACTGGCTGATGGCTACTTTTGAACCCTGTGCATCTCCATTTAGTGATGGGATGTTGTCATTTCATGGGTAAAATCATTGACATGTATTATGGGAGATTTAGTTTAGGGTCACTGTAGGCTTTAAAGCATAGTACACTAATTTTAAGACATTAATACATCTTTGAAGCGCTTGTGGACCACATAAAATGCAGGGAAGGCCCACATTTGGCCTGTGGGCCCTGAGTTTGACACGTGTCTTTCAGTCTGGAATTGAAACAAATTTTTTGTTTCATTATAAGTTGTAAAGCTACATACAACACCCCAGAATACTACATGAAAGTCTGGCATATCATGCAGATGTTAAAGCCACTGGATGGCTTTTGATAAAATTCATATAAAGTAATAATTGAATGTAGAAACCCAATCCCTTTAGAACCAAATAAAATGGCTGCCACAGCTAATCATCCTCAGAAATCCCTATAACTGAGTTCATTTTACAGATATTGAGTTTAAATCTGGTGGGGAAGTAGCTGAGAGTCTTCCCAACACATAAATCCAGTATTGAAGGAGCATTTGTTTAAACTTTGGCATGCAACACGACAGGTGGCACTTTCCTGCAAGAAATGATTCATTCTTGCTTTATTTTTAGATCAACATCTCCAATGTGATATGATAAAATACATCACAATGATTTTTGTGGCTCTACAGGCACAAGATGTGAATGTTTGTGTCCTTCTGGCTACACTGGGAGAAGTTGTGAGATCACTCAAAGGCCAACGGGTCAGCAAACCTTTTCACAGTGTGACACTAAATTTATTCATATCCTCTAATCCCTCTGAGACACTGACATGACAAATGATTCGATTGTTTGTTATAGATTTGGCTACTGATGGCAGCTGGAGCTGTTGGGGAGCGTGGTCTTCCTGCAGCGGGGGGAAAATGACACGGAGTCGACAGTGTAACAACCCAGCGCCCAGCAGTGCAGGCCTCCCATGCATCGGACTGGAACAGGACTCTACTGAATGCTTCTAAAATCTCTGATGTTACAAATTTAATAAAAGTTTAACCTTTGTGTTTGCCTTTGGACTATGCTCTGTGAAATGCTGATTTGAATATGCATCATGTGTTATTTGTTGTTTGTTTTTATAAAGCACTTATCTGCCTTAGGCACTGACCTAATGTCAGCTGCTGGTACTCTGATTTAACCTTCATAAATAAACAAATGTCACACTCTAAAACAAATCACAAGAACACAAAGTATGCACAACACATACAGTATTTATTTCTGTTTTGGTTAAACACACTTTTTTAGTTTGTAGAAACCACTTTTTTTAGCACTGCTGGTTCTGAGTAACAGAGCCCAGGCAGGGAGCTCCGCCCCCTTCAGGTGCAGGATTATTACACACTCTTGTCCTGCTCTTCCTCCCTGAGACACAGGAAGTCCACGACCCCCAGCAGGACCATGACCCATCTGTCCTGGTATCTGTTGAGTAAAATCAAAATGGTTTCAAGCTGATTGAAGGTTTTTTTTTTCTTCATAACATTATTCTAAAATGTGTTAGTAAATCTGCAGGGTAAAAATTTATGAAATCTTGTTCACATGAAAAATATGTTGAGATTAGAGCCAGCTGTAAATGTTTTGGGAAGTTGACTTTTCTTTTGAATTATAGTTAAATAAAGAGAACAAACGTCTGTCATTTGAACGTTTTAGTCACTTTATGAAGTAGTTAGAGTGAAATGTGTAGATAAAATAAAAATACAGTAAAAGTGAACTTTAAGGTTCAACAGATTCACGTAAACTCAACTTTGTTATGCTGCAATGTTTTTTACCTCAGAAGTCAGAACAACTTAAAGCTGTTTCAGTTATAACCATAAAACCTGAAGGATTTGCTGATCTGTTAATTAGCTAAGCTAATTGTTCTGAGCAGTACAACTTGATGACGATTCTGTAGTTTATGCAGAGATCTTTACAGATTCAGGATGGTCTGTTATGTGACTGATTTACTAAGAAAGAAATTAAAATGAAGAGTTCATTTCTGCAGCTATCATCACTTCTCACGCACAGTTTGAATAAAGCATGAGGTCAGGTTGGTTGTTAAACTCATACGTACTTAGTTGGAATTCCAATTTCTGGTCCTTCCATTATATTTTTTGCACTGAAACTCAGGAAATCATATTTCCCGAGTTTCAGTTATGATTGGCGTTAGCATTGGAGGGGCTAGTGACTAGCATAGGCTGCTCACTTTATTGGACAAAAACGTTTTTGAATAAAGAAAACTTTAACAAAAATGATTGACATGAAAAGCCAATAAGCAACATGCACTGACAGGTGTTATGACAGAATTTACTGTTCATCATGACGTCAAGCATAAATATAAAATATGGTACTGTGAAGCAGACAGCTTTTGTTACCACCTGAAGTAGCAGCTGAGTTTGTCTTTTCTGTTGTTCAACCGTGTTTTCTTCTCTTTAGTCGAATTATGAGAAAATTCAGAACTATCAAGTTGGGGCTTTTTTGACACGTTATTAAATTAGGCTCATATTTATTATGTCATATACAGATATTTCTCATAATTCACCTATATGCTAGTCGCTAGCCTCTCCACTGCTAACACAAATGAATAGTCTCCTTCTCGTTTGCCAGTGCTGGCCTCTCACCGGTGTCAGCCTATCATTAATCAGATCAATAGCTGGCTTAGGAATAGATGTAGCCTCCTGCTACAAGGCTGTAGCAATTGTTGGTTGCGCAAAAGTCTTAATTTTGGCCCTCATACTGCGCTAAATAGTCTGTGCAGGAGGAACGTGGAGCTTTGAATCCAGTTTCCTAGCTTACACAGTCATGGTGACTCATGACTTTTTTTTCTTTTGAGCATAAAAATCTAATCACAGTGAAACATGACAGAAAAATGAATATCTGAACTACAACAAGGGGAATCAACAGGAGTTAACACCTAAAGGAAATTATCAGAGGTGAGGTCTTTTTTTTTACTGTTTTTTTCCCATTCTTTCACATGTAGGAGTGGAACAGAGACTTACGGGTATTCATCCCCTTCCCACTTGGGATTCCAATCATATTTCTAGTTTTTGTCAAAGGGTGGATGTGCCAACAGTATTTAATACCTTGCCTCTATAAAACTAATGACATACGTGTTTATCTACAGTCTAAGCGGGTCTCACCTCTCCTGTGTGTCTCCTCACAGGCGATGCCCCGGTAGCCTGACTTACAGATGCAGCTACAGGAGGTCCCAGAGAGAACAGGGATCCCGTTGTGTCTGCAGGGGGCGCAGCGACAAGAATCAAACTGCTGCAGATACTCATCCAGGGCCCTCTGCATGTTGGCTACTCTTGCTCCTGCGTGATCAGCAGCAGTGCTGAAGCGCACAGCTTCATAAACTGGCATGATCTAAGAGGTCATAGGTCAGAACCAGAAAGAGAAGCACAAGAAAGTCCAACAATGTAATTGATAAAATGTCCGAACTCCCAGCTTCTTTCTTGTTTTCTCAGCTGAATGTGATTTTTTTTTACCTCAAATTTAGTCAATGCTGGGCTGTATTTAAGAGAAGCACCCCACTTCCTGTACGTATCAGGGCTCCTGACAACCAACAGACCTGAGCTGGTCTCTGTGATACCCCCCTTTACCAAAGTGACGACATCCTCAACCAAAGCTTTATTAGAGGAAGACTCTACAAAAAACAGATATCATTTTATCACTCATTATAATAAACTATATTTTAATCAATTGAAGACAAAGAACAAACATGCAAGACAAAAAGAAAAAGTTAGCCACCATCAAAATTTTGATTTCTTACCTCCAGAAATGTCTTGGTCTTTACCGCATGCACTTCCTTTAACCTTAAAGCCTACTTTTGCATTATCATTAATTGGAACACTTATTCCAATGGAGGCACCGAAGCATGACTGAAGTGTTTCACCGTTGATTTCTAAAGGAGTGGGGAGGATTAAACAAGGTTTCCTTTACTCTCAGCACACCCTGTTGTCAGACAAAATGGAAAAGTCCTGTTACCTGACTGCGCCATGGCTGTTTTGTTGACAACATAAACATATTCCAGCGTCCCCCCCATGGTTCCCTCTGTCACGTAGTGGGTGCCAAACATGTTGAAGAAGCGGGAGTACATGCCAAAATCGTACAGCTCAGGAAGCTCCATGAGAGCGACGTAGAAATCTTCATGAAGCATCAACTGATTAGATCTCATCTTGAAGAGGGCTGTTTGAACTCTGGACCAAAGTCTGACAAACCCGACGTCCTGAAGACAAAACAACAAATGTACAAAAAAATCAAACCAAACATGAATTTGACCAGCTCTTTACCCTCATGACAGTCCTTGAGGAGTCATGGGAGTTTGCTAATCCAGTCTACATACGTTTTGTGGAGGGAGTTTGGTTATGTGCATCAAATGCTCAAAACGTGTTGCGATAGATGCGTAACTAAACTTTCCGACGCCCTTTGATGTGCGTCCACCATAGACTTTGCATGTAAACCAGATACCCCTGACACTCAAATTGCGTTCAGTGTGATCACAGGATTAGAGATAGGGTGAAAAGTTCAGTTCTCCAGGAGAGACATGGTGCGTTCACACCGAACGCGATTTCAGCGTCAAAATCGCAGCCAACGCTGAAGTTTGAAGCTTGTGCACTTTGAGGTCAGACGCAGGACAGCTGCGCTGCATGGCGACAGCCGCCCCGCCCCTCCCTCCTCTGTGGGGCTGTTTAATGTCGGACGAGGAAGTGGCTTTGCTTTATTTACAGAGAGCCAGAGCGTGTCACGTTCATCAGATAATTAATTCATAATTAATTCACCAGATAATTCAGAGTAGAGGCTCACAGCTGCTTTCAGGACTATTTTTTTCAGTCTGATGAGTCGCTGCCACGCATTGCTGCGGATCAGGACACGACTGCAGGCACTCATTTCAGCTAAAGAGCAGGAGCTCTGTCTGTTTCAGGTTAGTGGACATCATTCAGTAAACTGTCCCGTCGGGAAATATGTCGCTACGTCACACAGTGGAGTCTCTCTGATTGGTTGACGCTGCGCGTCGAGCTGCAAAAGTTCAGATTTTCTAACTTCAGCGATTTGCGCCTCAGCGCGTCAAACGCTCAGATCGTTCAAATCGTTCAAATCGCGCTGCTCTAATCGCGCTTGAGGCGCCGCAGAACTTCCCGACGTTGCTTGAAGCGCGTCCACCATAGACTTTGCATGTAAACCTGCTGCTCCTGACGCTGAAATCGCGTTCGGTGTGAACGCACCATCAGAGTAGAGCTGTTGCTCCTTCCAGTGGATTCTGATGTTATCAGTCCAGGATGTTATTAGCGTAATCAGTCCCATAGAATGACTTCAGACTATTCCGACAGTGCCCCCTAGAGGGTTAATATATCAATGACACTGAATGTGTAAATAACCAAAACATATTTTAATTAATGTTTTGTCCAGGGTGGCGTGGGGGGTGGTTTTCGTGCTGTTTTTTTGCTGCCTGTGCCTGGTCTCCATCCTGGCTCTCCCACTCTCTGGTCCAGCACTTTTCCCATTGCCCTAGGGCCTGCAACAATAGTCTACTTTATTGAAGGCCATGACCATTTTCTCTAAAATTAACCTTACAGGCTTATGCCTCATACTAACCAGCCGGTTCTGACGTTATCAGTCCATTCTATGGGACAAAGAACCTACTAGGAGCCACAGTCAGGACATTCTGAAGCCATTCCATGGGCCTGCTAACGACTAATAATATCCATTTAATGGATGATAACATCCGAAGCGGGAGCCCCAGGCCTCTTTTTGAACAGCTAGCTCTTCCAAGGCATTCACCGGCCAGCCAGACACTCAAGCTGCAGCCCCTGAGACCTGACTCGGAATTAGTGGAAGATAATGGGTGGATGGAACATGAATTTGAATTGATTATTCCACATTCCATTTTTTTTTCTTTTCAACAAATGATATTTTTCTACCTCGGGACAGAAAGCTTACTCAAAGATTTTCCATTCTGGTTCAATGTTGTGACATTAACAAAAAAGGCAACGAATATTTCTGAAAATGTGAAACTGTTTCTCTTTAAACAAATGAGCTTCTGGCTTTTAAAATTTGTGTATTTAAAACAAACAACTCGTGTTGGACTCTTTGCCTTTAGAATTTACCTGGCTGTGATATTTTGTCACGTTTTTCAGAAACTCTGATTCGGAGCTGCCTTCCAGTCCAACTTCCACATACTGGATCCCAACTGAGACACCAGCCATGGAAGACGACATTTCCTTCCTTGCTCTCAGCAGGCTTTGCATATCTTCATAATATTCATGGGAACCTTTGGATGTAGCTTCAGCCTGCAACAGATTGAACTTTTTATTACAAAGCCCTTTGTGTTGTTGTCAAAACCATTCTGAAGTGCAAAACATGAGATAAGTAGTTACCACAAAACGGTAGGTGTGGTAATTATAAGGTTTCCGGTAGTTTTTCTCATCTTCGTTGTAGTGTAGGTTCTCACAGAAGGCATCATAGTTGAGTTTCCTCCATTCACCATTATAGACATATTCACACTTACCACCAAAGTAACTAGGGTCAAGTACCTGATTCATAAAATCTCCACTCAGGATGTTGTAGCTTTAAAAAAAATAGAATATTTTAAATTAGGTTTTGTTTTTTGAATGGCTGGAAGTTAAATAGATGAAATCATCTGCTTAGATCTTACATTGCAGTAAATAAATAAGTGTGTTGTTCTCATGTGTCAACAGCTTGTTGATTGTGTTCATTTTAGACATTTAATGCTTAAAAGTCATCGCTGGTTTAAAAATGTCTGTTTGTAAATTTAAATTAGTTTGAACACGAACAACAATGAATTATTGGCGTGCTGTAGATAACGCCTTGAACAACCACAGTTTGAAGAAATACAGTTTTACCTGATGGATAAGCTAATGGCTAGTCTGAACTCAGGCAGGACAAAAGTGGATTGCTGCTGTCTTAAAACAACTCCAGTCTCTAAAGAGGTTCATGTGACCACTAGACTTTTATATCACCATCACTCTTTTCAATACAAAGTTATGCTAATTTAATGTTGTTGTTGTTGTTTTTTTGTTTTGTTTTGTTTTTTACATGTGTGAATATCAGCAACAGCTAGCTGTAGCATTTCCAGTGCAGCTTGGGGCACTTCAGGCAGGAATATCCATCCATCCATCTATCCATCCATCCATCCATCCATCCATCCATCCATCCATCCATCCATTTTCTTTAACCACATTAGATGTCTACCTCCAGGGATTATTGGTCAAAGGGCAGGAGACACCCTGGATAGGTCTGTAGTCCATCACAAATCAGACAAAAGGGCATTTTGAAACAGACTGATAGTTCACACCTTCAAGCACATGACCAGAACATCTCTTTTGGGAGTCACAGAGGGCCTCCATTGTGAAGTTCGACTGGCTCCAGCGTGATTTACATGTGAATCCAAGTCCTCGACTCCTCAGGTGAATCTATTAAAGCCAGCATCTCAGCTCACTACAGACTTTACAGAAAAAAACCTCCTGGATGTGAATTCTAAAGTCTGCAATTTTGATCCATCACAGGGACACATAAAGCCAAAAGAAATATTCACTCTCTCATTTGCACCTATAGTGACTTTTTAAAGTTACCAAATATCCTAACACAAAAGATTTTGGTCTGAATGAAACCAGAGAAAACTGCAGGAATATTAAAGGAAAAAAAATTGTATAGGTCTTCTGGACGGGTTCTTCTTTAATGAAACGTTTCGTCTCTCTTCCAAGAGACTTCTTCAGTCTGAGAGTTTCAGGCAAAATTCAGGCTTTTGAGTCCTGCCTCCAGGTGACTGATACTCACATCACATGGCCATCGTTCACAGGTGACTCATACATCACCTGGCTATCGCTCACAGGTGACTGATACTCACATCACATGGCTATCGTTCACAGGTGACTCATACATCACCTGGCTATCGCTCACAGGTGACTGATACTCACATCACATGGCTATCGTTCACAGGTGACTCATACTCACATCACCTGGCTATCGCTCACAGGTGACTGATACTCACATCACATGGCCATCGTTCACATCGTTTTTACCTGGATTACTGAGATGCATCAGGACATGCAGGAATATTACTGTACCAAATTCATGTAATAAAAAACTATGATGTGCCAAGTATAAATTAAAATGTTTTTAAAAAGTCACTTTAGCTTACTTTATGAGTTTAAGTCCTAGTTGAAAAAAATCTAAAATTTTATTGTATTTTAAAAAGTCAGTGATTCCCAACCAGGGGTATTCGAGCATATTACAGGGGGTATGTGGAAAAATTTCCCAGGTGTGTAAACAATAAATAAAATGGGACTGAGATTTGTAGGGCCCTATGATTTCCACAATGTGGAAAATGTAAACGAATCACAAAACTGACACAAAATACAATAAAATGCAGAATCTCACGGAATTTGTTCAGGGGGTATTTGATGTATTTTGGATGCTGCTGTTTTCTGGACCTGCCATTACGTGGTTTATTTATTTAATTGCTTATTCACTTTCAAGGTTTAATTTGGGTTGAAAATAATAAAATGTCTGAGAAGTAAATGTTCTAGGGGGTTAAATAAATAATTTTCATTTAATAATCATTTTATAGTTTTGGAGAATCATTACGTTTGACGTTTGACTGAAGGGGTACTAGTGGTATGAAAAAAATGGCTCAGGGGTACACAAGCCTAAAAAGGTTGGGAACCACTGTTTTAGATCATTGTTGTTGTTGTTTTTTTTGTTTTTTTTTTACATTTTAATTTTTTTTATTAAATGTTAAATTTAAATGTTAAATATTCTGTCTAAATGTTTAATCCTCAATCTAAATGTGTAAATCTAGATGTATATTAAATCTTAAGTGTTGCAGCTAAATAGTAAAACTTGCATTTAAGAATTTCAGAATGGAGCGCGGCCTTTGAGGTTGGGACAATTGTTGTGGTGATGTCATCATCTTGTGACAAAAACAAATGCTAGCTCTGCTAATGCTTCTAATGCTGCTAACGCTACTGAAGATGGTATAGGACTCCCAGCATTTTCCACAGACTCCTTCAACTACCAGGACCTTGTCAAATGACAGTAATTTGGCTCTCTTAGGGTAGATTCAGGACTACACATTTGCACACTCCAGTGCCGGTGACTCTGAGGTCATGACAACAATTTGCATCCAGCAATTTGCATCTCTTGGGGGAGATGCTGAACAAGAAAAACTTCATTCCACACATTCCTGTGACTCTGAGGTCAGCTTTGACCTGCACAAACAACTGCCTTGTTTGTGCACGACTAGCAAACAATGGTATAAAGTCAAACATTTCCTTTATTGTATAAAATTGTACTGAGTTGCAACTGAAACTGAGTTCTTTGTGCTCAACTAGCAAACATCCCCACACTATTCATTCAACCAAGATGGCCACTTTGATGATGTGGCAATACTGATTTGCTACACGACCATTTTGTTTGATTCCAAGGAAAAACTGTAGTGAAACAACTTTATTCAATTTTATTTCATTCGGCATGTAGCTTGCAGATAGGCTATTTACTTTGGTGCAGTTTATTGTATAGGTTATCCACAAGCCATTTGGCCTACTGCCTGCCTGTCCATTTGAATTTCAGATTTTTCAAAATGTAATGGCACATTGGTATAAAGTCAAACATTTCCTTTATTGTACCAAATTGTACTGAGTTGCAACTGAAACTGAGTTCTTTGTTTGTGATCGACTAGCAAACATCTCCCACATTCAGCAATGCTAATGGCCTAGATGTGACAAGCCGTGCCAGACGTAATGGCGCAGGTGTGAAGACATAAGGGCCGCCCCTTTCTTATCCAGCTCAAGTTGCATAAAAAAGTCACATCAACACACGTTTTTCACTTACTGTGGTGACTGAGCAGCGAAGATGGCAAAGTTTCACAGCACACAGCAAGCTTTGGAGAAGTTTCTCAACCATGTCAACCCCTGTGACTCAGATGGAGAAGAAATAGCCCTTCAGCTAAGTTCTGATTCTGAAATTTCTTCTGGTAAGATTTCCTAAATGTCCTACTTTTGTTTGGTTAGGGTTAGGGTTGCAAAAACTACCATCTTGATAAGTTACAATTGTTCAAGAATATTATTCTTGCTTAATTTGAGCAATTTTGATGTGTCTTTTGACTTAAAACAGGACAAAGTGTCTTGATAAGTTGTTTTTACTTAGGTTTTTATGAATGTTTACATGAAAATGTATTTTTTTTCAAGTAGCTGAGGGGTTTGTTTCGTTGTATAAATTTCTTTAAAAAAATCTTTACCTATTGGCAGTTCTCAAAAGACAAATTTATTTAAAATAAGGTTAACAAAATCAGAGCTATTTCGACTAATAAATATTCCACTTCTTTGCAGTGTGAAAACAGTCATTAGTACAAAGAAGGCATACTTGGTATGTTTCAGAATTATAATTYAAATACTACATTTGTGTCAATTTCCCATTATTGTGACCTTTCACAAATCAAATCTCAAACACATTGTCCTGCAGATGAGGAGACTGAACCACCTCCAGACAAGAGAGGTCGCATGGAGACACACGAGTGGATTACAGACGGCACAGTGTGGCGTGAAGAACAGATCGGAAGACCTCTGAATCACAGCCCTATTGAATGCCATCCCACGGATGGAGAGCCAACACCTTTGGCCAGAAGAAAAGTGTCCAGTCGCTTACAGAGTTTCCTCTGTTTCTTCTCTATGGAAAAGCTTCAGACCATACAGGACTGGACTGTTAAGCACGCACGCCACACACTGGATGAAAAATGGTTCATGGCCGTCTCTGAACTAATGGCATTCATTGCAATCCTCATCCTGCGAGGGATTGTCCGCCTTCCACCGGTGCATGACATATAGTCTGCAACACTGGGAGTGCCCTCCATCAGCAAGATTATGGCTCAAAACCGCTTCCAGGACATAATGCGGCACCTATGCTTCGATGACAAGGACACACGTGGTGAACGAGTTGCAAATGTTTGCTGCAGTCTCTGGTATTTGGAAGGCTTTCGTTGGCAACTGCATCACTTTTTACARCCCAGGAAGGCACATCACCATAGATGAGCAATTGTTTCCAACCAAGACCCGTTGCTGTTTCCTGCAGTACATTGCTACAAAACCTGACAARTTTGGCATAAAGTTCTGGGTGGCATGTGACCTGAAATCCAAGTAGGTATGCAACATTATCCCTTATCTTGGCAAAGACCCCAGTCGTCCCACCGGGGAAAAACTATCTGAAAATGTGGTGATGAAGCTTATGGAACCATTTATGGACAAAGGAAGAACTGTTACCACAGACAACTTTTTCACCTCATTGTCGCTAGCAAAACGACTGCTCGGCCGGAAGACCACCCTCCTTGGCACAGTGAACAAGWTTCGCCGTGAGCTTCCAGACTCTGCCAAAAAGACTTTGGACCGTGACGAATTCAGTACAAAGGTGTTTTCAACCTCTGGTGCCACACTGACTGTTTATGCGCCCAAACGGAGAAAGACTGTCTGCATCCTGAGTAGCATGCACAGTGTGGTGGAGACTAGGGACACCCGAAAAAAAAAGAGCCTAACACAGTCACCGACTACAACAGCCTAAAATGTGGTGTTGATDTCATGGACCAGATGGTGCGAAAGTACACTGTGCGTTCAGGAACACGGCGTTGGCCAGTTGCTGTGTTCTACAACATGATTGACATYGCAGCRTTGAATGCAYATGTGCTTTTTCAGGCATGCACTGGGGTCAAAGAGAGATGAACGGACTTCTTAGTGAAGCTTGCAAGAGAGCTTGCACAGTCTCATATGGCAGCCAAGGAGGTGTGTAAGGAAAACCTTCAGCTGCAACCACCCACACCTGAATCAGGGAGAAGGGTATCGTGCCAGGTTAAGTGTGGCTGCAAGAGTAACTGTGCCACTCAGCGTTGTGTTTCTTGTAACAGATTCTCATGTGGCAAATGTAGGAAGGAGATGTTGTGGCAGTGCCAGGTGTGTTCTGACATTCTGTAAGTGTGATGAGTCTCTTCACTGGAAGAAATGTCTGTCTAACCAAGATTTTTTATCTTATATCCAGACAAAATGGCKTTAGTCTTGTTTTAAGTAAAATCAGAAAACATGGCTAATTAGTCTAACATTCTGCTCTCATTTTACTTCAAACAAGCCAAAAAAACATTTTCTCTGGATATAAGATAAAAAAAAATCTTCATTAGACAGGCATTTTTTCCAGTGTTGGGTTGTTATCATATTGTTACATGCTTATTTTATTTTGTCTTTTATTACTTGCTTGTACATAGTTCATATTTCTGCATAGGTTACATTTCTATTTACAAATGATTTTGTTATATTGTTGCATGCTTATTTTATTTTGTCTTTTATTTAAAAATTACTGTTGTAATTTTTATTTTTTTTATTTTTTGGGTACTTTTTTTCTGGACCACTATGGAGCCTTCGCTCTCTCCCCCCAGCTGCTGACCTCTCCTCACTCCCCTTCCCCTTGTAAATAAATAAAGAGTTTTATTGCATAAAGTGTTTGTTGTCCTTGCTCTGCCCAGTTCCATTGTTCGGCACCCAGGTTCAGATCGTGACAGAAACATGTTTTTTGAAAAGACAATTACAATCGTTTGCTGATGTTAGCTAAATAAAAAATCCAAATGGCTTATCCACAAGCCATTTGGCCTACTGCCCGTATATATCTGAATTTGTGCTGATATGAATAGTACAAAGGATGCATACTTGAGATGTTTTGGAATTATAGTTCAAATAAAGTATTTGTGTCAGCTTCACATTATTTCAGTGTTATTTTTTGTAATAATCTTCGTCGTCGCCTAGGTCGACGAGGAGGCGGAGGCAGGTGCCTTCAGATAAAAGTGACCAATGCAATCCCGCCTTGACCATGGACAGGTGACAGGTGACAGGTGACAGGTGACAGGACTTGCTGTCTCCCCTAGCAACTTCATCTGCCATAGCAACTGATTCTGTAATGTGATGTAAATAGCCTCATATACATACCAGTGGACACGAAAAAGCTAATTCAAACTGTCATTTGACAGTYCCATGGGAACTACAGGTAATGTTGGTCAAATGTGTTCTGCAAAAACATTATGTGGTCCAGTAGTTTAAAGTGCAGCTCAGACATTGGCTGTGTCTGACAGTTTGCAGCGTTAGCAACATTAGCAGCAACAATTCACTTCTGTCCTAGCAGCATTGAAGCTAACTGTTAGCTCATCAGTCTAGTCCAGGGGTCTCCAACCGGTAGCTTGTGAGCTCATTTAAAGTAGCTCTTCAGTGCTTATGAAAAATTAAGAAAATTATTTGTCACTGGCCAAACAAACTTTCATTTATATCCAATCACTCCATAAATGTCCCTCCCCCTTGGTTGTCAATCAAACAATCTAGTGCTCAGTATGGTCGAACAGCATCCGACAGGACAATGCATGGTTACGTGGTTGTTCAGCAGTCATTGTCATTTTTGCACACACTTTTCAGAGCTCCTTGAAACACAATAGGCCTCATGCAAGAACATGTTTGTATTCTTATCCTAAATTTCTCTTACTTTTGTTCGTATGAAGGGTTCGTCAGATTCAACAAACTCTTCTATCTTCAGGAAAAGTGTGTAAATGAGCTGCGTAATTTACACCTGTTCTATCCAGCTGCTTGTGCACGAGGAGAGGAGATTAGCATAATTACCACCCCAAAAACACCATATAAGGCTATGTTTCCTGCCTCAGATATCAGGAAGTGTCCATTCATGAAAATGACAGCGAAAAGTAAAAAGAAAAATTTTACGAGTTCAGAGACTGAAGTTTCAACTTGTTTTTACCGCAATTTTATTTACAACGATTGCATCCCATGGAC